TGTGTGTGTGTGTGTGTGTGAAATAAATTAGAAGAAAAATTTAAAAATGTAACCAGGTGCATTTCATTTGTAATCTGCTACCTCTTTAATAACATGACTTGGGGCGCTTTTCTGTAGGTTTTCCTAGACAGAGACTTCACCAAGCAATCCAGTATTAATTTGGTGGATTTAGCAGGCAGTGAGCGGCAGAAATCTTCAGGATCCGAAGGAGACAGACTGCGGGAAGGATCACGAGTTAACCTGAGTTTAACCAACTTAGGAAATGTTATCAGGCGAGTAATCAGTGGATAGATATCTGTGCCATTCATGACTGTGTTCCCCAGGGGGTAACTGCCATCTTGTATTTTATATTTATTCTCTCTCCTTGTCTTGGTATCGCTCCCTCCTTTCATTCTTTCTGTCTCCCTCCCTTCTTTTGTCTTATTTTCATCCTTTCTTGTGTGATTGTTTGTTAGTATTATAATTTAGTGACACTCATTTTTTAATTTTATAAAAATTGTAAAATATTGCATTTTCTTCTGGATCTTTTTCTTAAATCATTAAAGTATAAATTACATCCATAAAAGTACATAGATCTTAAATGCTCAGCTCAATGAATTTTTACATGTGGGTATATCTATGTAATTGTCTCCCAGATCAGGACATAGAACATTTCTAAAATCCAGAAAGCTTCCTCATACCCCACCCCTAGCTTTTACTTCCACTAGGCAAAGTTGAATTTGTCACCAAATATTGGTTTTACCTACCTGTATGAATTTTTCCTATAAATGTAATCATTTATATGAGTCATTGTCTTCTGTACTTGGTTTATTTCACTAAGGATTAGCACCATGAGACTAAGCCATGTTATTTCTTGTAGCAACTTGCCGTTCTTTTTCATCGCTTTATAATATTCCATCAAAGGAATATACCATAAGTTACCCATTCTCCTATTGATGGACATTTAACTTGTTTCTGGCTTTGGACTATTATAAAGTATTAATAAATAACTTTTCTATGAACATTCTTTTGTACATACACTTTAGGGGATATTAATTACTCATTCCTCAAGTATGTGTATGCCCAGGAGTAGAATTGCTAGGATGTGATTTTAGACTCAAAATTATTAACAATACCTATCTATGTTATGTGTGACTATAGTTAATTTACTTTGTGTTCTTTCACTCAACATTGTTTTATGATAGTTTTTCATGCTGTTGCCAGTTGTCACTTCTTTTTTCTTATTATGTAGCACAGCATGCAGCCCTTAATGATGACAACTTGTAGATACAATGGTATAGCTATAGGTCTCTATCTTATATCTAGATGGATAATAGGCTGTATCACTTAGGTTTGTTTAATTATACTCTATGATGTTAGCACAAAAGTGAAATCACATACAGATGCATTTCTTAGAACACATCCCTCTCACTAAGTGATGCATGGCTCTATTCCTCTGTGGGAATGTATTGCAATTTATTTAGCATTCCCTGTGATTGACCTTTTGTTTCCAGGTTGTTGTTTTTTTTTCTGTAACAAACAATACTATTATGAACATTCTTGTACAAGTCACTGGGTATCAATATATTGAAGTTTCTTTTGAGTGCAAAGAACTAGAGTTGTTCATACAAATATATAGCTACACATCTCTGTGTGCAAAAACCGAACTTTTCAATATAAGAAATTGTTTTTCAAAGTGGTTGTACCAATTTACATTTTTAGCAGCATTGTATAAGATATCCCACTGGTCCATATTCTTTCTAAGATTTGGTATTGTTAGATTTCTTGATTTCTACTAATTAAATGAGTATAAATTATTTTAATATGGCCTTGCTATTCTTGGTTACTAACAAGTTTAAGCATCATTTGCTCTACTAATACCAATGTTTTCTCTTGAAGTATCTGTTCTTATGTTTCCCCATTACTTTATTGAGTCCTTTTTATTAATTAGACATTTAACTCATTAACTTAGACATTAATTTAGACATTCTTTACATATTTTTTATTATTATTCTGTCTTCAGGTATATGTATCATAAAACTTGTTCCAGTTAGTGTCTTATCTTTTCATGTTCTTTAAGGAGTCTGTTTATGAGCAGAGATATAGTTTGTTTTGTACTTTTTTGGTATGTGTCTCATTTAAGAAAATCAATCAGAAAAATATGTACCTGTATTATACAAGTTCCTGATTTCTGTGTGTAACACGAAGGCATGTTTTTCCATTATTTCCCTCCCTATATTTCCTTTTATAGAAAATACCTTCTTCCTGGATAATACAAGAATCTATATCCTACTTATATAAATGTTGATATGCATTTTAATTCTACGCTCTAACCCTAAAAGATAGTATTATCTTTATTTTATCTCACAGTTCACCCACAATTTATCTTTTTTGCTATTTTTATTATTTCTTAAACCTCAGAGTTATTATCTAAGATCATTTGCCGTGAGGTTTAATATATTCTCTAGTATTTTCTTTAGTGATAATCTGAAGATAACAAATGTTCAGTTTTTGTTTTGGTGAAATATTTTGTTTCATCTCATTCTTGAGAGGTACTTTTGCTGAGTATATGATTTTAGACGGGCAGCATTTCAGTTCAGCTCATGGAAGAGGCCGGCTGTCTTCTCCAGCTGTCCACTATTGTTCTAATTGCTAATCCCTTGCAGTAACTGGTCTTTCTGTCCTGCCTGCTTTTAAGCTTTTCCTCTTCCCTCTCTCCCTCCTCCACCACCTTCTCTCTTAATGTTCCCGAATTTCATTATGTTGCTTTTGAATGTTTTTTGTTTTTATGTTTACTGCTTCCAATCCCTTGACCTCACAGCTTGTGTTTAGAGTTTCATCGATACTGAAAATTTTCAGTGACTCTCTCCACATGTTGACCCTGCCCTCTGTGCCCACCCACCTCCCTTCTCCTATCTGACTATTCGCACCTCACTCCGTTGTCTGCGGCCCTTCACCTTCCTTTCTTGTGTCTCACCTGTATGTCTCCAGGTTGCTGCCGGGATGATTTCTTTTCAACTGTCTAGGGCTCATCGCTGTTACAGCTGTGTCTAATTTGCCGTTAAACCTGACTGTGGTGTTTAGACATTTACTTCTTTATAGAAAATCGCCTTGCTTCTTTTTCAAATTAACAAATTACTTTGATATCAGATGTCTCTGATTATCATTTCTCAAAGGCATTTCCTCCTTCCCCCTCTCTCCTTAACGCCAGCACCTTCTTTGTGGTCTCCTGGAGGGGGCTGGGGCTGAGACTTCTCATATATACTCAGATGCTGTAACCATGGTATCTTTTTCTGCAGAAAGCACCTCAGCTTTGGGACATGATTTGGAGCTATCTCAGGTGTAGGGGGTAAAAAGGAGGCTAGAGGGGAATTTCAGACTTCTCCCCAGAGAAGCAGATTTCTTCTTTCTACATTCTCTTACATTTTCACTTTGCATTTTCTTTCTCATGCAGTGCTCTGGCTGAGGCAGCCACAGGGAAGACAGTGTTGCACATTCCTTACAGGGACTCTGTCCTGACCAAGCTGCTCCAGTCGGCTCTGGGCGGGAACAGCAGAACTGCTTTGGTAAAGTGCCTTTCTTACAAGAGCTTAAACGAAATCAGCTACTGTTATTTTATTGTTTTAAAATCATTCTCAGCATGCCACGGATACAGCCCTTGGCACTTACAGCACATTCTTCTCTATTATCTGTGGACCTGAGCCTCCCCACCTGCATCATTCAAAGTTTTGATATTGCCAATTTTAATTTTTAAAATTCTGTACTGTTCAGGATCTCTACAAGGAAGTGAGGTTACTGTTATTATCAGAACCAAACAGAAGCAATTTCAGAAGTCACACTCAAATGTTATATATATATATTTTTAAGATTTATTTATTTATGCTGGGCACAGGCCAGAGGTGTGGGGGAGGGGTGAGAGAACCCACCAGAGACAGAGTGGGGAGCAGAACAGGCAGATATACTGAAATACGTGCTGAGGGGAGCAGCGGGGAGGCAGGAGAGGTCTGCCGCGCCCTGTGGGTCACCTCCGGGGCAGGGATCGAACTCGTGCTGCAGTGGCCTTGGGCAGCTTCATAGTGCTGCACTTCAACCCGTTGCGCCACCAGGGAGGCCCTGTCCTGTAATAACGAAATCAGCAGTCATTCCCTGCAAGCCTGAAAGCAGTTTGACAGTCGGACACCAAGCAGGTTACCAGCCTGGAGAGGAACTGAGTCCTGTCATCTCAGACTTATTTCTGAATGTCGCTGAGTGGCAACCATGTGACATGGGTTAAAGTTAGGGGCCTCTGCTCTTTAGTGTCATCTTACCAGCTGTTTTTAACTGTTTCATTTGAAAGGTTTTTGGTTGTCAGAACCTGGAGCCAATAAGGCTCCTCAGTGCCCTAAGCATGGGGGACCAGAGTCAGATCTCACGGGCCCGAGCAATATTGCCCGAGAGAGGCGGACTTGGGTGTCCTGGCAGGACCTATCCCAGGCATTGCATGAGCTGACGGGAACTCTGTGCTGTTTGGGGGTGGGCTGGGGGTGGCCATTGAATCATCTCAAGAGACATCTTTCACAAGAGCAGTTTCCAAGCTCTAGACTCTCTCTGACTCCAATTCCAGGCTCAGCACAATTTTCCTAAAACCACATTTCCTCCTTTCCAAAGTGGAGAGTTTAATACCCACTGCAGATGTCGCTGTGGCAGCCAGATGAGTTGACAGACTTGAGCATGTTTTAGAGGCTGTCCAGGTAAACAGTAACAGACTGCTCAGTGGACTCTCGTGCTCTGCACTGTGGCCTCGGGCTCTGAGGTCACTCACTGGCATGCGGGCAGTGCTGGCCCCTCAGGTTGACCCTGGGGATCCTGCCCACCCCCCCTCAGACCCCGATCTGCCCACCCCTCCACCCCCTCCCTTCACCAACAGCTATGTGTTCTCATTTCAACTCTAGAATAATCCCAAATCAATAAGCAGACCTAAAATCAGTGGCTACCCAGTCACGAGCCACTTTACCCGGTCTCTGCGACGCTAAGATCCCGTTGTCATCTAACCCCCGCGTGAATCTGCGGGGTATCCAAGCCTGGCAGCACAGTGCCCCCCAGCAGCCGGGGGTGAAGGGTCTGTCCAGACCGGGTTCAAGTCCAGCTCTGACGGCTGTTATCTGGCCTGCTATTTTTTTAAGTCTTGAAGTTCTGAGTTATAAAGTTTGTGTAATACTGTAACCTACAAGGATACACAGAAGTTAGTTGTTCAGCCAACCCCTGCATAAAAAACAAAATCTGACAGGAGCTTTGTTTTGCAGCTAGCAGCCATAAGCCCGGCTGACATCTGCTACGAGGAAACTTTATCAACGTTAAGATACGCTGAAAGGTACCTGCATGAACATTTATCACCGTGTTCTAACTTCCTTTTTTTTTTTAGATTGATTTATTTGTGCATACAGAACTGGGGTACAGGCCAGAGGGGCAGGGGCGGTGAGAGGCTTCACCAGGGACAGAGCGGGGAGCAGAACAGGCAGATGGACGAAGCCCACTGCTGAGGGGAGCAGCGGGCGGGTCAGGAGAGGTCTGCCGCGCCCTGTGGTCACTCCGGGGCAGGCGGGGATCCAACTCTGCATTGAAGCGGCTGCAAGTAGCTTACAGTGCTGCGTCCTAACGTGTTGTGCCACCAGGGCGGGCCCACTGTGTTCTAAATTCTAAACCTGCAAACTCTCCTGATCTTCTATCCCCGCTTGGTGGGTTGGCACTGTGGGTGGGGTGCACGGGAAGGCAGACGGGAAGGATTTGTAGAGAGGAGTGAGCAGGACTCGGACAAGTAAGTGGAGCGAGAATTGACCCTGACCCCCCACTCCACTCTCCACCCCTCCTCTTCCCTCCCCACACCCTCATACCCCCACACCCCAGCCTGTCACCTGCGGCCAGCAGGGAGAGGCCGCCCGCCCGAGGGCTCAGACCCCAGGGAAGCCACAGGCCAGTCCCGCTGGCTCAGTTCCGGGAACCCCGGCACGTGGCTGCCGAGGAGCCGGCCCCTCACGCCCCCCCTTGTCGCGTGGGTCCCGGGTAGAGAATAGGGCGAGCGGGGTTCTGCGACCCGGGGCCTGGTGGCCAGGCCGGCCCACAACGCAGGTTATCCTTGGGGGGGGGGGCAAGGGCCTGAGTGCGTGTTCATCTCTGCACATGAAAAGGGCTAAAAAGATCCAGAACAAAGCCGTGGTCAACACCTCCACCCTGAGGAGACAGTCAAGGGCAGAGAACACGCTACTGCTCGGATGTGGACACGCCAGCGAGGCAGGTAAACGGAGTCAGGACTCAGCGTGAGGCCAGCCCGCAGCAGGAGGGGCGCGGGCCGGCGGTGGCTGGGCGGCCCCATGACTGGGCATCACCAGACCGGCGCACAACCCCCAGGAGTGGTGGTTCTTAGAGGCCCCGCGGCCCTTCCGAGGAACCACCAAGAGCCAGTTCTCTGAGGCCTCTGCTGGGCTGTCGGTGTGGCCCGAGGCCTCCGATTTTGTGTGCCCCGATGATTAGAAAGGGCGGGTGGAAGCTGTAAACGCAGCTGATTAACACTGATTACGGTATTCAGTCTCCAAACAATAGCAAAACGCTCCGAGCCCTTGTGCTCTGGGCATTTTCACAGTGTGGCCCATGGTCACCTGCCCGCCCCCACCCGGGGGTGCTCTCCCCAGAAACACTGGCAGCACTCTGGGGCCCAGATGCAGCCCGGCCAGGCATGCACAGACAGACACAAGCTGCCTGGATGGCGACAGCACCCACGGGCCCCCTGGCCCCCCAGGCCCAGCTTAGGCTTCCCTCCTGGCCCCCTGCGGCCTCAGCTTCAACAAAGCCCTTCCTGAGTGAAGGTGGGGCCGCCTGCTCCAGCATGGCACTGGCCGGTGGGGGTCTCTGCAGGAGCCAACCTTGGGCTGGCAGCTGGGGACCAGCCTGCCGTATCTCCTCCTCAATGCTCACACGCGCAGCGGCCTGCAGACCCAGTGAAACTACTGCAGCAGGAGTCTGCGATTCCTCCCCAACCCCACTGCGCGCTCAGCCTGCGCGCAAAACACGCTGAGCGTCAGCCCCCGCGGCCCCCGCGGCATCACCGTGGCATCACCGTGGCATCACCATGGCTAGCTCCTCCGGAATGGCGCGTGCCGCCGCTGCTCACCAGCCTTCGCCCCTGTCTTTCGCCTTAAGTGCAGCCCTGTCTCCGCGCTCGGGGTCAGTGCAGTGGATGCATCGTAGTTATTGGGGCGCCCTGCACACTGGCGTGATGCGCCCCTCCTCCTAGAGCACCCGGCCTGCGGGCTGCCACAGCACGGGCGGGGGCCTCACGCTGCCCAGACCTTCTGGGGGCACCAGCTGGAGCGGGCGCGGAGAGAGTGGCAGCACCAGTGCGCGGCCATGGCCCAGGTGAGCGGCTGTCCCTGCAGCGCGCGGGCCGGGCAGGCGGCGCCTCGGCTGGGGCCTGGGGTGAGCTGGGTCGTCGGGGTGAGGGCTTTTGGCGGCCAAGTGCGGTGTGGGCATGCGACACGGCGCGAATGGTACAGTTGTTGGGGGAGGCGCGAGGGAACAGCCGACGTGAGGGGGCCCCACGCAGAGGGGCCGGGGTGCGCACCGTGGAGCAGCCGGGGCCAGAATCAAGGCTTCGCGGGCGAGGCCCTGGCAGGCCCGACGGCGCGTGGTTTCCCTCCGGGACTGCACGGTGTGAGCCTGACCTGGGCTACCTGCCGCTCGCTGCCAGCCCATACTGAGCGGGCTGCCGCGGGGCTTGCTGCCCTCTCGGCTCCGGCCGCCCGGCCCCACCGCGGTGTCCGCCAGGCGAAAGACCTGGACAGCCGCAGGGTCGGGGCTAGCGGCGGGCTGGCTGGGAGTGGGGGAGGCCAGTGTGGCTGCTGAGCAGCTCAGTGAGCCTGGAAAGACGAGAGACCAGGCAGGGGGCGCGGACGGGGGAGGGCGGCTCAGGAGCAGGGACCAGCCACCTCGGGTGCAAGGATTGGGGGTGCAAGGATTGGGGGGGCGTAGCAGGGACACATGCAGCAGCCCGAAATGCCCTTCAAGCAGCAATTGCATGCAAGGGACAGTGGGCTGGGCCTTGGCTGCGGGGTCAAGCGGGAGTCAGACACAGGGGCCATTTTGTGTTCCACGTGGGCAGTCGCTACTGGAGGCGTTGGCGGCCTTCCTTCGTCTTCTTTTAATTTATTTCTTATCTTTCACTGTCTTCCAGCATATTTTAGTTTACTTTTCATCGTGTTTTGCATCAGAGAAATCCGCCTAGAGCTTCCTGTCTGTCCCCTCTTCCTCCGCGCTTCCCTGCTGCCTGACCGCTTCTTCTGGCCGGGCTGAGCCGGGCCAGGTCCGGGCGGCCGCGCGCCGGGCAGGGCGCAGTGCCGTGGGTGGCCGGGAGGGGGCGCTGCCGCGGCCGCCGTCTGCCCCCGACTGGAGTGGCCGTGCGCTGGCCCGCCGGACTTGGGGCGAATGGGAGGCGGTTGCGGGCTTGGCGGGGTGCGCGAGGCGCCAGCGTGGGGAACCCAGGCTGCTGGGGGCCCCGGGACCTGCAAGCGAATGTTCGGGGAGAAGTCGGGAAGGAGGGATCCTGCAGGGGCAGCTGAGGAGGCGGGAGGGGCCCCCGCGCCGGTCCAGGGGCGCACGGATGCGCTCCCGCGCCCCACTGGCCCCTGCCGCGCCGGGCTCGCGTCGCTGGTCAGTTTGCGGGGGGACGGTCCGCGGGAGCAGGGCCGGGGAGGGCCTCTGCCGGGCGCTGCGGGCGACGGCCTCTGTGTGCCCGCAGGAGCGGCGGCTGCTGCGGACCTGCCCTCACCTGCGCAACGTCAACGAGGACGCGCAGCTCTCCGGGGCTCTCCGGTTCGTCATCCGCGCGGGTACGCGGCCCCGGCCCGCCGCCTGCTTCCTTTTCCATGGCTCATCCACGCGGGGGCCAGCGCTGAGCCAGCAGCGAACGAGCCCCGGCCTCCCCCGACCGCAGCCCGCGGCCCTCAGGACGCCCCGTCCTGACTCCGGGCGCTGTGGGCGCCTCGGGGAGTGGGGTGCCAGGTCCTCACGTCCGCACGCGCTGTACACTGCCCGAATTTCCTTCGTTTAAAGCCCGGGCGAACCCCACACACGGGTCAGCCTGCGGTGGGGCGGCCGCGTCCTCAGGGGCAGCCTGGCCCAGACGGTTCCCACCCCTGACCCTTCCTTGTCCGGCGTCGGGCGCCCCGCGGCCACTCGCAGCGCGTCCTCCCCCCAGAGCCCCCGGGAAGAAAGGCTGCACTTTATTGAAGTTAGGAGTCTGGCCAGAAAGGCGACGGTGAAACAACGGCGCCCCCAAACTGGCGGCTCCAGCGGCAGGGCAGTGGGAGGACCCCTGCGCCTCACCCTGGTGAAGAACCAGCGCTCCCACCGCCGGGTCTGCGGGCTTATTCAGGTCCAGGCGACAAGAATTGGTAAGAAATGGTCTTATTTCCCCAGGCTCGAGTGATGCTGGCCGGGCTGCTGCAAATGCCATCACTCTCCAGGGCCTGGGGTAAGGGCAGGCGCCTCTCTGCGCCGTCTCTGTCTCTGTCCCTGGGGGAGTTCTCAGAATCCACCTGCCGGCCTTGGGGGCAGCCACGCAGGTCACTCCCAAGAGCAGTGACCAGCTGACACACGCAGAGGGAGGCTTCGGGGAGGCTTTCCCTCTCTCACTGAATCCCTTCTTTAAAAAAAAAAAAAAGATTTATTTTATTTATTTACCGAGGGGTCTTTAGTCCAGAGATCCAAACACATATGAGGGGCCAGATGTGGGCGGGCGGTGAGGGACCAGCTTGCCCAGGGTCTCAGCTGCCCCCACAAGCCAAGGCCACAGCCGAGACGGGGCGGTGCGGAACCAGCAAACAGGGCTGAGAGAAAGAGGGGTGGGGAGACTGACAGGAACTAGGTAGAGTTTAAGAGAAGCGGGACCCGGGACGCAGGGCTCCGTGGCTCAAACGCCCCGAGTGCCTGGGGTGGCTCATTGCTCTTGAGACAGATGCAGGGTTGGTTACAAGACAGTGACTCATCCTCTGACCTCTTGGTGTTCTGCCGTCACCGCCGAGTTCGCCTCACAGCCGCCCGGTTCTCCAGCCTAAGCTGCTTTCTTTCTCCAGCTTGGCTTTGCTGATACAAGGACATCAGCCGGTCCGTCAGGCCCCGCTGACCAGACTTCTGGCCACGACCCTGGCATCCTCCTTGCCTCCACACTTCACGCTTTAGGGGTTTCCAACATCTCCCCCACCCCCAGTATTTTTTTTTTTTTAAGATTTATTTATTTGTACATACAGAACTGGGGTACAGGCCAGAGGCTCGGGGCGGTGAGAGGCTTCACCAGAGACAGAGTGGGGAACAAAACAGGCAGATCAACGAAGTACACTGCTGAGGGGAGCAGCGGGCGGGTCAGGGGAGGTCTGCTGTGCCCTGTGGGTCACCTCCGGGGCAGGCGGGAATCGAACTCATGCGGAAGCGTCTTTAGCTTCTCAGTGCTGTGCTTTAACCCGCTGTGCCACCAGGGAGGGCCATTTTTTTGTTTTTTAATGCAGGCTGGACAGTGACTATGGCAGTGGGAGGGGAGGGCCCAGAGTGGATTTAGGGTCCACTGGGGCCCTGCACTGCCGGCTTCCAGACGCCCTCTCTGCTTCTTCTTTCCCTCCTCTCGCTTTCCGGACCCTTCCCGTGAAGACCCTCAGTCCAAAAAGTGGGCCTGTAAATGGCTGAGCTCCAGATATATTGAGATGAAGAGTAATGCCACGGGGATCCTAGACCGCACGCAGACAGCGCTAGGGGTGATGCCTTTCAACCTCCAGAACATTCTAGAACAGTTAGGGAACTGGCCATCCATGACATTCAGACGATGGCTAGGGCCATCCAGGCTGATACTGCTCACGTCTGGCCCCAAGCCCGAGAGAGCTTGAATCTGCGGACCCAAGACCCAGAAAGAGATGCGCAGCTCTCCGGATACATAAAGCTCGCCCCTGACCCCGCTCCCACGTGTCTCCTCTGACATACCTTTTATTCTTCAATTCCCCATCCGCTCATTCCGACCGGCCTGTGGGCTCTGAAGTCGCTCTGAAGTCGCTGGGACCCCTGCCCAGTACCTCACTCAGGGGTGGCCCACTCGGGCCACACACCAGCCCGGGCGAAGGCTTCTGGCCACTTCTCAGCAGCTGCAGATCTCGACTGGGTGAATGAGAAAGAGCAACGAAGCCTGTTGACCAAAGTCGCGGGTTATCTGGCCGTGCACATGCGGTGTCCTTTTAGAATTTCAGATACACACGTGACCTTCACAAATTCGGATGGCCAAGTGACTGTCACGCCACACAGCGGGTGCAAAGTGGCTGTCAACGGGGTGCCCGTCGCGACCACGACCAAGCTGCAGCATCTGGTAAACTTTCCTGCTGGCGCGTAACTTCCTAAGTCTAGGAGAGAGCGGGAGTGAAGCCCGGCGGGGCGGGGTGCGGCCACCGTACCCCTCTGCTGCCGGGGGGCTCTAGGGAGAGTCACCGCTGTGCGGGGGGGAGGCCGCTCTCATCACCGCCAGTGTTCCTGGGCACGGCACTGCCTGCCTGGGACCTGGCGAGAGGGCGAGCCAGGGCACGCCAAGGTCCCACCCACCTCTGACGCTGTGTCATTTTATGGGCACCGCACCCTGCAAACACAGGCCCCACCACCCCCTTCCTGCCACCTCAGCCGGGGCCGTTCTGGCCTCCCTGAAGTCCACCTCTCTCCAGCGTCTGCTAGACCAGCAAATCGGGTCGGCGCCCCCTCCTGCCACCCTTCAGTGAGCTCCCTTTCAGAACACCCACCCGATCTCTTAGTCACTCGAAGCAGCCTCCCCTGCCGCTCCAGAACTTTCCACACTGGGTGTTTCAGCTCAGTAGCGCACCCCTGAGGAAGCCCTCTGGCCCTGGGCAGCCAGGCCCCTCCCTGTGCACCCTGACCTGCGTGGGCCCCTCCAAGCTACGCGGCCTCCTCACTGCGGCTCCTGCAGAGGGGACGGGTCTCTGGCCCCGCTGCACCCAGGGCCCGAGGGGTCAGTGCGCCGGCTGGGCGGAGGGACAGCGGGAGGACTAAGAGACAGCAGGCGCCCAAAGCCAGGCCCGACCCCCTCTCAGCGCGGCTCTCCCCTGAGCACCCACCTCGGGGCCCCCTGGGGGGCGGCCTGAGTCCAGAGTCTCCTCCCAGGACCGCATCATCCTGGGGTCCAGCAGCGCCTACCTCTACGTCGGATTTCCTTCCGAGCGCGGCGGCGAGGACTTGAGCAGGTTCGACTATGACTTCTTCCAGCAGGAGAGGGCGGCCGCGGAGGGCGTGAGTGTGCATAAGCTGGGTAAGCAGCTCTGGGCCCCGACTCGCTGCGCAGATGCGAAAGCCGCTCTCAGCACGGCCCCGCCTCAAGGATGACCTGTTGTGCCCAGGCCCGTCCAGGGGGTTGGAGTAGGGTCTCACGTGGGCCAAGCGTTTGTTGTTTTCTTAAAGATTCATTGATTTAGGCACACGGAACTGGGGTACAGGCCAGAGATGGGGGGGTGAGAGGACCCACCAGAGACAGAGCGGGGAGCAGAACAGGCAGATGGACGAAGCACAGTGCTGAGGGGAGCAGTGGGCGGGTCAGGAGGGGTCTGCCGCGCCCTGTGGTCACCTCCGGGGCGGGGACCGGACTGGCACGCATGGAGCGGCTACAGTGCTGCGGCCTCACCCGCTGTGCCACCAGGGAGGGCCGAGTCCTGTCTTTTTAATGACACTTTGCGGGGAGAGACAGGGCCTTGTTGGTATCGACAGCTCGTCACATTTTTAGCCACCCGTGTGGATTAATTATTCTGACTCTTGCGAGCTGGAGACTTTCTTCTGCATGCACTGGAAGACGTTCTATTCTAGTAGTTTCCTGTTTGTTTCTTCATCTCCCATCCCATTATGCCTCAGGATGACTGCATGTGAAAGTCATAAGCCTGTCATTAGAGGAAAAACAGGAAAGTCCCACTGCCTGATTGCACTTACGTAGCTGCTCATGTGCCCCCCTAGATCGTGGTATCACCCCGAGCAGGTGACTGACTCTGCAGCCCGTTTCCCCAGGTGCCGTGAGCAAAGGCGATGGGCGAGCAGAACCCAGTGTCCTGGCCGTGTTCCAGGACTACATCAAACTGATGCCGCTGGTGGCAGAAGCAAATCAGATGAGCGACGAGCTGAAGAAGGTAAAGTTGGGCCCTCCCTGGTGACCGCTGGCCAGGACCCCAGTTCTTGTGCATAAATAAATCTGTTTAAAAAGCCAGCGTTTGGAGAGGACGAGAAAGAAATGCCGACGTAACAGGCTGACAGGTGTAGGATTATTTAATGACAAGTGTTTCTCCTCCAGGGACTTAAATTGGAATTGAAGGTGAAGAACTTGGCGTCGTCAGATTCCAGGGGGTGTGACCTGCAAAAGGAGGTGATGGTGAAGGTCACCCACCAGGTGACTCACGCGGTGAGGCTCCCTCTGCGGGGTACGAGCCGCACAGGGGTCCTCAGTTTTGGAAACCCCGCAGAGGGGGGCTTCCTGTCCCACGTGTGAGCTGGGACTCGGGGACAGACTTGACGGACGGGGACGCTGCTCCGGCCCTGCCTGGCCTCCCGCCCAGGCCACATTCTCTGCTCCGCCTGACCAGCAGCCTCGGGCACCTGCAGCTTCTTAGCCTGAAGGACCCAGAAGTGTACCCGAGGGCAGACGTGTGCTGGGGCTCCACGCGCTGCCCAGTCAGGGAACCCCACCTCGATGAAGGCGCCTCCAAGGCCCTGCAGAACACTGCGCGGGACTCGGCTGGCCCGCCCCTGTCCGGCTCGGCCCTGTCGGGACGGTCCTGCCTGGGAACTTGGACACTTTCCTTTGACAGAAAGACTAGGCTTGTCTCGTATGCATACTGCCCCTCTGGGGCAGCAGACAGCCTCCCCCGACCCTCCCAGCCTCCCCTGACCCACACAAACCCCCTGACCCCCCCAACCCGCACAGCCCCCCCCCCCCACACACACACACTGGCACAGCCCCTGACCTGCAGGATGGCAGCATGTTAACCTGACAGGGGCCTGAGGCCGTGACAAGCACGAGACAGAGGCCTCCGGCCTCGACTCCCCTCTCAGTTCCCCCTCGTGGGCCTTAAGGGAAGTGAACAGACTGCCGAGATGCCTTTCGGGCTCTGCACTCCGCACTGTGATGCCTTAGGAGGGAATGCTGCGCCCCTTCCCTGAGGCAAGTAGTCCAGGGTGAGATCTTTCCAGCGCCTGGAGGACGTCCTTTACCTGCCATTTGGAGGCCTGGCCTGCCGTCTGTGCTAACGCCCCCGAGGTGGTTTGCTAACGCCCCCGAGGTGGTGTTTCTGGCCGTGAGGCTCGAGGCGCTGAAGGTGGCTTCTCCTCTGGCCTCCTCCCTCCGTGGCCGTGGCCAGAGTTGATAAAGAGGCCCGTCCCTCATCTGTCCCCCACCTGTCCTGGAGCTTCTGCTTACTGTCTCACAGCTCTGTCGGGTCCCAGGTGGCCCTCACTGGGCTAAGGCAAGACTTGGGGGCTTGCTGGGCTTTCTGGGGGTGGGGCCGGGCGGGGATTCTGTCTCCTTGCTTGCTCAGCTTTTGAGGCCTCCAACTCTCCATATCTATTGCGCCCACCTGGATAAACCAAGTCAACCCACTGGCTGCCATGTCCGCCGAGAGACAGCCTCGGTTCGCCTTTGCCGTGGGTCCTGGGCACCAGGACACGGACATCTTTGAGGGCCGCTCTCCTCGCCCCTCGGTCCCAGACCTTCATTCCTCGCAGCCCAGAGGCTGTTTTCCATCTGCCCCCAGCTGCTCCGAGTCACCTCCTGCCAGTGGGGGATGCTGAGGTGACCACGTTACCCGGCCGTGGGTCCCGGAGACCCAGTTCAGCAGCAGACGCGTGCGGGGGGGGGGGGGGGCATCAGAAGGAACCGTCAGGGCAACAGCATGGAGGAAATCGAGCCCCGGTGACCTAACCTTCGTGTTTCCAGGTGTGGATTTGGTCAAAAGCCAAGTTTATCAATAGGAAATTCCTCATGGAGGAACTGTACCAGCGCTTCCTGGACGGAGAAGGGGGCGGCGTGGCTCTGGAGGACGACCCCTTCTGGGACCCCCCGGAGGCCGTGCCCCTGGGCTCCGCCCACATCTGGCTGCAGCCCCTGGCTCACTGCATGAAGCTGGAGGAGCAGGTGGAGTTTCTGAACTGCGACGGGCTGGACGAGGCGGTGCTGTGTATCCACATAACGCCCTGCTCCCCGACGGGACGGTGGGTATCCCCCCGCCCCTCTGCCTAATTCTGGGGCCCCCCACAGCCCACTCGGCAGGCCCCTGTTCTCCCGAGGAGGTCTGCCTGGGACTCTGACGGTGTCACCACGGGCGCTCAGGAGTGGGTGCATTCACGCGCGCTCTGGCCACGCCAAGTCCAGTCCATCTTTGCCACGACAGCCGAAGTGCTGACCTGGAACGTGGACGCTCTCAGGTGCAGCTCAGCACTGTCCTGGCAATCAAGGGAGTGAGGAGCCTTGAGCGAGAGCTGGAAGGCCTGGGCTGGCTCCCACATCTGCGCTCAGCCGAGAAGCAGGTGTTTGGGGTTCCCGCCCACCCTTCCTGCTGCAGGGGCCCAAGGGCCGGAGGCAGAGAGGTGACTGTTGAGCGCCCCCTTCCTGACACAGGCTCTGATTGTCTCTTCGTCCCTCGTCTCAAGGCAGGAACTGGGGTCTTCGTTTGCCTCTCTAGCTCCTTCTGCGCTGCCCGCGGACCTTGGCGACGACACGGGCTCTTAGGGTCTCTGGGTCCACCGTGCGCCGAGGCTGGCAGCCCCCTGCCCTTCCTTCGCTGGAAGTGGCCGTCTCCTGAGAAGTCTACAGCACCCCTGGGGCCTCGCGGCCCCGACTTGCTTAGAGCAGGGAGGCCTGTGACCGGTATTCACGCCTTCTGTGCAGGCCCTGCGCTGAGGACGACGTGGTCACCGACCCCTTGAAGCTGCTGGGCAAGAGGATGGACTTCCAGATTCGCATCGTGCAGTGCCTCGGCACCAAGTGGCTAAAGGCGGACGCAGCGCGGGGTGTGCAGATGGGGTACGGCGGGCGGCCTCTGCGTGCGCCGTGCACGGCCCCCACCTCGGGGCCCTGCTGGGAGCTGGTCTCCCCGCAACGTGGCGGTTCTGTTTGCTGCCCCCACGAGGTTGCCTCCGCCATGTGTTTGCTAGCGAGGAAGCAGCAGTTATTTACCTACTCTTACAGAACTGGGGTACAGGCCAGAGGTGCAAGCGCAGTGAGAGGCTTCACCAGAGACAATGGGGAGCAGAACAGGCCGACTGACGAAGTCCACTGCAGAGGGGAGCAGCGGGCGGGTCAGGAGGGGTCTGCCGCGCCCTGGGGTCACCTCCGGGGCAGGCGGGGATCGAACTAGCACTGAGCGGCTGCAGCCGGCATGCAGTGCTGCGTCCTGACCTGTTACGCCACCAGGGAGGGCCCAGAAATTTTAATTGTCAGACAGAATTTCCAGAAAATGGTCTCCTTTAAGTAGAATTTTTTTTTTAAAGATTTACTTACGTATGCGTACAGACCAGAAGCTCAGGGGATGAGAGGACTCCCCAGAGACAGAGCGGGGAGCAGAACAGGCAGATGGGCGAAGCACACGGCTGAGGGGAGGGCGGGGAGCCGGGAGGGGACTGCCGCCCCTGGGGGTCCCTCCCTGGCCGGGGTCCAACTCCGAGCTCTGCAGAGCTGCGCTCTAACCCGCTGCGCCACCAGGGAGGCCCCAGGAGAATGTTTTAAAGTCAGAATTAGGGGCTTCCGCTGTGACGCGCGAAGCGCCAGGTGTGCCTGAGCTCACGAAGCCAGAGGGACGCCAGGAGGCGGCACAGAGGCACGAGGAAGGACGAGCACAGCCGCCGCGTCGCAGGGAGCGTGAGCAGTGTTAGCTCATCCGTGCAGACGGTGCCAGCGGTGCCAGCGTCCTTTTCCTTTTTCCAGACTTGTATTGTGACATTTCCCAGACATTACCGTGTAGTGACACGCCCGCGGTGGCGTGACGGAGGGGTGGGGCCACGGGGCCAGTTGCACGTCACTTGTGTCAGCGGCTGGGTGCAGCCACGTCTGCTGCACTCGTGCGGCTCTCGCCCGGCCCACGTGCGTGTCCCTTGTGCCTTTGCGTGACGTCTTCTGTTCTCTCCTCAGATACAGAGTTTATGATCTTCCACGCAGTCTGTACACCCGGCCTGTATGGAAAACGGTGAATCCCCAAATCCAAGAGACTGTCCAGTTTACGGCCTTCCACGCCTCCCGGCATTTTCTGAATTACTTGCAGACACATGCTCTCATTGTCGAGTTGTGGGGCCTCCAAGGTAGGACCGCTGCGGCCGGGGGCCGCCCCCGGGGCCTTCCCCTGGGCTCGCCCACGCACCGGGTGGTCTCGGCTCCTCACGCACCACCAGGCCGCGCCCCTGAGGCTTCTTTCTCTGACGGTGTCTCCTCTGCACTCCAGAAGGCTGTGTGGAGCTGGGCTGCTCTCGGGCTGACTTCACGGTCACAGGTGAAGGCCACATCGTGGTGGACGCCGAGAACACGGCCGCCGTGATGGAGGCCGGCCCGGTGTGTGCATTTATGTGACATTAAATGACAGCTGTGTCAGGATGGCCAATGTTCCTTCCCTGAATAAACCTCCTTCCTTGACTCCTGTGTCTCTTGAGGGCTTAAACGTTGCTTATCACATTCCTGTAAGTAACCAGGATCCTGGGAGAAAAAGGAAATTTTAGTTTCCAGTACGTAGGGGCTATTTTATTGCACTGCATTTCCGAGCTTCGCCCGGGGGTGCTTATGCAGAAGAGCGGGGTAGAAGCCGCGGTGTGTCAGAGGCTGTGCCGGTGACAAAGCCAGCGGTAAGTGGACGTGCGTTTTGCAGATGGCATCGGACCAGCTATCAGAACTCAGTCTGAAGCTGCTCGGCCTAGAGCAGGAGACAGAACTGCTTCGCAACATCAACAGAGCCCTCCGGGAGGAAAACGTGCGGCTCAGAGAATCCCTTGGGGGAGCTGCTTCTGGGCAGCAAGGTGAGGGCCGACTCCAGGCGTGTTTGCCTCTCCCCAGCCCTCCACTTTGGCTGTGTTTGTGTAAGAAATGAGCTTTCGCACGAGCGCCTCGTCTTGTCGTCAGCGAGGCCCAGCTTGTTCTTCTTTTCCACCTTACAGGATCTTTAGAGGGATCCCAGCTGGTGGCAGGCCAGCAAGGGAAACAAAGTAGTCAGACCCCGAGCAAATCGCGAATAAGCGGTCTCTTCTCCCCCTCAGCACCCAGGCCTCCCGAGACCCTGGAGGCCGGCGGGGTGACCACGCACATGGCCACGGCGCAGGCCGGCTGCGACCGGGAACTCGCCAGGGCGCTCCAAGCCTTCTACCAAAGCATGAGCGCGGCCCGAGGGCAGCTGCTCACACTGAGGCGCCACAAACCTCCCGTAAGTCGCCAGGATCCGGAGCAACAGGAGTTTTGTGCCCTGACGCACGTAGTCTGTCGCGTCCCGAGCTGGGCCGGGCGTGCGCCTCAGCAGAGGAGCCGCGAGGCCTGTCGCGCCCCGTGC